GAGGACACACCGCCCCCCGCTGGGCGGAGCCTAGAGTGCAACTCGTCCTCTTGGGGCGGGCCCTCGCATACAAATTAAGCTGAGCCGCGGTCTCTCCTCTCTTTGATCTGGCGCGCTCATTAATAATTCAGCACTCCGCTCGCTCGGAGCCAATCAGACAGCGGGCACTGCCACAAGGGCGGCCGCGCTGCGCAGCTTGGGGAGAGCGCCCCGCCGTCTTCCCCCCCATCGCCAGGGAAATTTCGGGCCTCCCGTGCCGTGTCAGGCCCCCTCCTCCTGAGACTTAGCACGAAGCTGAGGGAACGTGCCCACCGTCCTGCAAAGAGCGAGCGGGACATGCTGCATAGAAAGTTGAAGCCTTAGTTGCAAACAGCCACATAACTGCCTGTCTTGCTACACAGCTCGGCTGCAGATAGCCCCTGCGGGGAACAGCTGGGCAAGGAATCAGTATGTAGAGTGCAATGGCACTTCAAGATCTGCCAACCTCTCTGCATCCATGCAAGAGCTTAAAATTACCTCTGACAAGGGGCAAGCTTCCAAAACTTATGTATTTTAATTAAAATATTTGTTTCTGTCATGTTCTTGCAACATCCAGCCAATCCACATCGTAGGCCAAAACAAAGCAGTGGTATCAGTCTGGATCATAATCCTGTTCTGGTAAAGGCACCATCAGATGTTGTGGTGCTGAGCAAGGCAGACACAGTTTCTCAATCCTCCCTGCAGTGGTTATTAAATTGTAATTGTTTTGTGCTGAATCAGGGACTCCCTGCCCCAGCGAAACTCACTGGGTGGCTCTTGTAGAGTTCATTGATAAAATTCCACCTTGGCATAAGCAGATGAGACTGATTGAAATCAACAGGAGTGAGTTTGACCTAATTCCAGGACAAATGTGAGCCCTGTGGGTCAGACTGGAGCTCTTCTGACTACGATTGTTCTTAGAAACTCTCTTCTCACTACCTTTAATCTGCAAAACAGTCTGGGAGAATGCTGAGAGCAGACTGGCGCTGCCAACCGGGATGTGAGGAGGACTACCAGACCAAAAGCACTGCTCAGAGGAGGAAGAGGAAGGGGAGGGCATGTGGGAGGAGCTGTCAGACCCTCACCTCAGCAGAGCCCTGCTCACTTCCAGCATCTGATAACAGGGGTGTGTACAGGGAACAGGACCAGATGCAGTGCTTGCAGCAGATCCCTGCCACCCTGGGCTACGATACCTCTGACCACGCAGGAGGAAGATGGCAAGGTGTCTGTGCTGACAGGAACCGCACGCAGATGCGGGGACTCCTCCAGGCTCTGAGTCACGCTGCCTGGCAGCAGCTGGATGCAAACAGATGGGTGTAGAAGCGGGATTACACAGCCACAGGGTTGCATGACCATGAGCAGGCATTCACCAGCTGGTGCTACTGCGGTACCAGTAGCCTCCTCAGAAGCGTCTGCATAACTTAACATTTCTGTAGGAATTAAGAACCACACTGAGGAGCTCACATTGTTGGACAAGGCTTTTTTTTATTGCTTAGCCTTCTTCCCATCTCCAAAAGGAACTTAAAAATTATCTAATAAAATGCATCTAAACCAGTAGCTATTACAGTTCTGAAGAACGTAAATACCAAACACAGCCATGCTCAGCACACTTCTGTTCACTGAGTGCTTTCTGGCACCTGTCACTGGCACTCTTGCATAGCGGCTAAAGGAAATTTGGTACCTAGTAATCCTGTTGGAAAGCTCCCACAGCAGGGCCTGGAAAGCAATGACGTCCTCAGTTTGGAGCACAACAGCCACAGGACTGGAAGGCTCATAAGGAATTCGCAGCTTCTTTCTTTACTAAGGGATCTCTCACTTGCAAAAGAAAAGACAAGGATCCACAACCAGGAAAGCGGATGTCAAGGTGAAACAAAGCAGGCTGCAGTACAGCCCTGGTGAAACTATCAGATGCAGTGTGCTGGTATTGGTGGCCAAACTTTAATATGGCATAACGCTGCGTGCCAAACCGCATCTCAGCACATCTCTCTGCAGCATGAGGCTGGAGTGCCATCTGCAATGCTCTGGGGCTTCCTGTGACCTCCAGCTGATGAAACAGTGTTCAAGGCATGGTTTCCTGCTCTCAAGTGCCTGGAAATTTTACTCCAGGTGGCTGGGTTTTATGGCTGTGTCTTTTTCAGGTCAGAATCTGATCTGACGGTTGTTGGCGTAGCTGAACAACAGAGGCTCAGGACACCACCACTGATCTGATCAGCTTATTCTGTCCCTGACTGACCTCAGTGACTCTCCAACCATTTGACTGGTGTGGCACAGTGGTTCTTAATGTGTGACAAGAGGATCACCAGCAACATGTTTTCTAATGCTCCACAGGTCAACTGAAGATGATATGTAAAAGGCAGACAAGTGGTTCATGAGATGAGGAAGCTGGAGAAGCAGTGACTTCAAAAACAAAACAGTATGTATTCCAGTCCAGAAATGCCCAGCCAAGCCTTACACACTTGTTTGCTGTAAATTTTGCTATTATGCCTAAGCCATCTGGTTGGGTGAAGTTTCTAACAGTGAATAAAATGGTCACCTACCCAAGGTTCCAGTTATCACAGACTCTATTTTCTGTAATATTTCATTAATCAAGAAAACAAATCCTAAGTAAAGCTCTTCCCTTCATTCTGTGCCATTTCTGCAAGTGACAGCGACTTCAATGATTAACATCAACCGGCAGCTTGAATTCCTTTAGCGAATAAAAGGCAATTTCTCCATGATCCACCAGCGCAAAGACCACCGGGATGTCCCCACTCTGATACGTAACCTGCTTCAAAGCCCGAAGAGATGGAATCTGCTCGTCAAAGCTGCAGAGAGAAAATATCCCGTTGTTCTCAAACCAATAATAATACAGAGACAAAGCTGTCATCCTGGCCGATGATCACAACAGCTCACTCTGGTCTTAGGAGCTGGTCATGACCTTCCCCAGCCCTTTCAGTAAAAGCAGGAGGCTGCCAGCCCTGAAAGAGTACACTGCATGCCAGGAACTGGGAAGTGTCAAATCCTTTGCCAAAATCAAGGATAACTGCACACTGCTCCACACTGTGACCATTAGATGAGGCTCACAGCGCTACTGGCAAATTGCCAGTCCAGTGCAATCTTAATACCTTTGTGCTAGGAAGATCTTTAGGTTGCTTGGATCAACATCTGACCTGCTTTTCCCTCCCTTTAATTCTGCAGAGTCTGTTTACTCGTAAATGAAACTATGCAGCAAGGATCATCCTACCTGCTTATAACAAACCTTGATAAAACTGCATTACCACCTTCCTTGCTCTGGCTACTAAAGCAACAAAGAGTGGACGAGGAACAGTTTTAGTATATATCACAACTAGAAAAGGCCGAGACTGAACTTTGTACCTGCCTATGGAGTTTAAGTATCAGATTTTGGATCCAGCAGGAAAGGGGACACCTATCCTCTGTTCCTACTGATCTTAAAGTTACATTTGACAAAGACCAAAACACTCAACTCACGGCCACTAGCCTTCAGTGAGCTCTGGGGAGGTACACCTCTGCAGAAATCCATAGCAATCTACATGGGTTGAGGATTCAGGTACCATATGGCTCCCTGGAAAACTGAGTTCTACGTGAGTTTCCCAAGCATTGCATAAATAGAGCTGTGACTTCTTATTCCCGACTCCGATCAGGAGAGCTGCTCTGAGACATGAGCATCAATCAGACGACCAAGTAGCGTGGGCTGAGGGCAAGTGCTGGGGTAATTGTCAGCCACAGCCTCCAATAAAGGAGGAACTGAAAGACAAAAAACTATCTGGGCAGGACCACCCGCAAGGGAGGCACTCTGCTGATCTGTAAAGCTCACAAGATGCTGGGTCATTAACAGATCATAAGGACTTGATTTCCACAACAGCAACTGCAATGTTTCACAACACAGCATAAGACCCAGGATACCTCCGAACACACATCCTGACATGTGGCTTCCCAGGGTTTGTCTTCTTAAACTTGGCCACAGCATCTGCTTGATACACATTGAAGTCTATCTTCATGTCCTCTGGGTCCTCCTGCAGCCTACAGAAGAGAAAATACACCCACATATGTATGGGATTGAAACACTATAGGTATAGATATATCAGAGGAAAGAGGGAGCAAAAGCTCTTGAAGCCTGGCTAGCTTGAGCCCTCTGAAAGCCTTCACTCCTCAAAGGACTGACCCTGCAACCACTGTAATTACTTTCCAGATCTTTCATGTAGTCAGACCAGAGCAAGCTCCCACCCCACATCTGCCACACTCCCTTCTCTGCAGAACCAAATGCAAGAAGTACCACTAACAGATACAGAAGCAAAGCGCTGCTCTGCCCTACAGGGACTGCACACAAACACCACACAGACTCTTTGATGCAGAAGCAGAATCGAAAGTCCCAAAGCCAAGGTTTTATAATCACTGCAGCAGGGATGGCAGCACATTCCAGGGACGAGGTAGAGGTGAAACCCAACCAAAGCTCTGGCGGAGATTACCTGGCTGGGATACAGAGACGGAACATCAGGAAAAGAGAGCAGTACCGATGTTTTAATTGGCCTAGAATGCCCTAGCTCTGTTGCTGCAGGACCTGGCACTTCAGCAAACGGTGGCCCCCCACAATGGGATGATGGGTCATGGAGCAGAGCACTGGATTCTCTCAGCATCCTGGATGCCAGGCAGCTCCCAAACTGCTGCTGTGAGCACCTCACAGACCTCACAAGCAGAGACAGTCACAAGACATCCCCCCACTCCCTAACAGCTACGAGTTGGCTGGCTGGATACTAACCGGGAGGCTCCATCCAGGATGTGGGAGGGCTGCAGCACGCTGATCTGCTGGAGGAGCGCAGCTGGAGGGAGAAGGAACAGGAAAGGATCAGACCAGCTATTTCTCTCCCAGGGCACTCCAAGCACTCCACCACCCATGAGCCTTCCTCCTCCAACAATGGCTGGCAGCACCACAGTCATCGCTGGCTACTTCAAAGACGTCAACTTCCTCATCTCCTCCCAGTGCACAGCCCAAAACACCCTGCAACTGCTTTGCATCTTGCTGGCCCTGATTTCACATGCCTAGCAGCCCAGCAGGAAGGACTGCAATACAGTAGGACATGGGGAACGGATTAGAAGACCTCCCAAGGCCATGTTTATCCTGGCATTTGAGTGGGCTATAGAAAGAGGGAAGGCAGAGGACAAGCTTTCTTCTCCCTCCTCTGAGCTCCTCACTGCCTGCCTTGCCTAGGCCCTCTCAAGAGATTCTCTTTCTCAAGGTACTGTCCCCTAAACTGATGTTCAGCTTTCCCATGTCATCCCTTTTGCTGCTGCCTACTAGGCAACGTTTCAGAGAGTTGGAGGGGAGGGAAGGGTCCCTGTCAAGTTCCAAGAACCACTACCTGTTGAGGTAGCTTTATCTGGCTGCAAAAGCGGTGTGACAGCTTGGTCCCAGAGATGCGGCGGTCGTCTCCAAATCCTCTGCTGCCTCCTCTGCTCCAAAAGGGCTTTGTACTCCTGCCAGTTGGAGCAGCGCCTCACCTCCCGGTCAGCATTGACACTGCTCTTGTACCTGCTCTCCCTCTCTCGCTGCTCCCTTTCCTTCCGTGACAGCTTCTCCTGTTTCTGATTGATGCGTGGACACCAGCAAGCTGCATCAACCTCCCTGCCTGGTACATTCTCTGGAAGGAGATCATTGTCAGGTGGGGGCAGATGTGTGCACGGCTGGTCTGGAGCCACGTTTGGGAAAATGATAGCAGTAAAATCCCAGTGGGGTGCACAGGTGCCAGTGCTGCTCTCCTTGTGGTCTCTAGCCTGGCTCCTTGAGGGGCTGAGTGAGTCCTTTTGTCCAGTATCAAGAGGAAATGTGCTTGATTTCCCCTCACTACTGTCAGCATCCGATTCCTTTGGCTGCTCTGACAAGGGCTTTTCATCCATGGGAAGACAGCTGGAATCTCTGCAGTCATCTCCAGCTTTTTCAGAGGTCCCTTCAGCTTCTGAAAGGTCCTCAGATACCTTATGTTTCTTCTCCTGTGACCTACAGACAGAAGCAGCAGCATAAAAGACAAGGAGAGTCTGTGGCGGGACTTTATTCCCTTTGAATCCTGCCTCCTCCCTGCTAACAGGAAGAATGCAGTCTGCCAAGCCTGAAAGGACAGCAAAGGTGGCAGGAACCCCAAGACAGGTCTGCAAACCCTTGACAACCACCTCTTGGCTGAAAGGAGGGCATTTGCTTGCATGGCAAAATGAGAAGGAAAAAAAGCAGGCTGAAAACAAGTAGTGAATGCCAAAGGCAAAATAAACTTCTCAGCAGTCCTGCATGAGGTTTGACTTCAGTGCCCAGGAGAATCTCAGTCTTGATTTGTGTAGCACACATTCTCAACCTGCCATGCCACCTCCACACACCCCATATACTGACCGAAACACCTCCACACAAACACGATGGACTTCTGCCAAAGCAGCACAGGTCGGAAACCTCCCTGCCAGAACCTCTCACTAGTGTGTGATTCAGTCTCTGGTCCCAGAGAAGATGGGGCAATTCTTAAACCAGCAGTTTTATCTCCCAGTTCCTAATATTTCACAACTCCTCAGGCACTGATTTACTTGTTAAGTGGAAGGGACTTACAAACCAGTCTCAGTCTCCCTGTTTCTTAAAGGCTGACGCCACCTACTGGAAGCTATCATAATTATTAACAAAATGACTAATTGTGTCAAGCTTCTGTTTTCAATCTGCAAACGTCTACAGGCCACGCACAAGGACCAGGACCCAACTATGCTCTCTGCTGTACAGTCCTGGCATGTAAACTGCATTGAGAGGGTGGATAAGTGCAAGATGTTCACCGTGGTGTCTGCACTCCCTCTAAAAACAAGCAAGAGGAGACATCTGCCACATGTTTCTTCTGCACTGACCTCTCTACCCCTCTATTTTGGCATCTCACCACCGCAATTGGGAGGCTCAGGGGCAGTTTGCCCCTGCTAGGCCTGCATGAAGTACAGATAAGACAAAAGCACGCACTGCAAGGAGTTCGGGAAAAGCACTGCACTGCTTGGGGACATCCAGGAGCAGCTGTGCCAGACAGGTCACCCACAGCACAAAGGGCTGAGGATGCTGTTCCCAAGCTGCAAAGCACGGGAGAAGGACGAAGGCTTTGGGCCACATCCTTACCGGGGGCTGGAACTCCTCCTCCTTTTACGATGGTGCTTCCCAGAGCTCTGGCAGTGACTTTCCAGGTTCAGTTGCCTCTCATAGGGAGACAGGACAGTGCTGTAAGGAGACACCAACACAGAGGCTGACAGCAGGGCAGAGCAGTGAAATCACCCTTCTGCTCAGCCCCCAGAATACAGCAACAAAAACCTTTTCTTCCAGGCACAGAAAATCCACAAGCAGGACCAGGATGGTCCTCAGTTCATGCCCCATTTCATGTTCCCAATCACCTCCTCAAGAGGGAGGAGCAAGGAAGGGTAGAGTGCCACTTTTAGCCTTTAATCCTCCCAAGAGATGGAATGCAGGGTCAAAGTCCTCTTCTCTGCCGTTCCACTGGGGCCATGCAGTGGGCACAGAGCTGTTCGGGGTCTTCAGAAAGGAAAAAGCAGCGTGGAAAGGCAAAGTTGGTTACCTGGGGTCGAATCTCAGTACAACATAACCCAGTTGCTTCAAGTGGCTGAACACCTTAGAGCAAAGGAAATCAAGAGGGTTAACTGACTACTCTAAAACCAAACCATTTATTTCAGTTCTCCTACAACTGAATAAGCACAATGTGGCGCTGGCAGAGAAGAAAACACCAGGGTTAAGACCCAAAGCAAAGGTGGGGAAACAGGAACTGATCATCTGGAAGAAGGTGAATGGGAAAAACTAAGAATTACTCCCCTTCCCTCCCTGACTGTCCTACTCTGCTCTCAGCCACTAGAAAAGGTTGTGTCGCAGAGGCTGAGGTCTCTGCCTTCACCCTCCCTGGAATACCTGGAGGTCCCAACACACCTGGTAATGTGGCAGACTCATTGCCTCCTGGGACAGCAGAATCTCGTAGGCTTCCTGGATTGACAAGGGCAGATCTCTGTAAAAGAGCTGAACAGAGCCCTGCAGGGCAAAAGCTTGGTGTTGAGAATCACAGGGAACAAATCTATGCAAGCTCACACTCATCTCACTGGTCTCAGCACCCTCTTTCACATGATATCCGTGCCTGGGAAGATGCCAAGAAGCAACCCCAAAGATCCCTGCTTAAGTGTACAGCATGTACAGCACTGCTGCTGCTATATAACAGCCTCCCATGCCAACCACCTTCACATGGAAAGATGTGATTTAGTGCCTACATGTGTCCAAACTGGACAGTGTTTCATTTGTTCTTATCAGCTTCTTAGAGAAGCACAGAAAAACTGTGCTAATGAACTTATGAACTCTGTCACTACAAAATATGTAAGATAGACTGGACAAGGGAGAAAGTCAACTTATGACAGAGAAGGCACTGACCAGTCTCAGATGTCCTCATTAACTGTACACCAGTTCTGAGGAAAAGGATTTCTCTGTATCAAATCTTTTATTCCAGTTAACTCCTGCAAGGAACAGAAGATAACGGTTTGATCTCATTTCCAGAAATTCCCAGAACAGCAAGTTTTCCTGGACTGAGGAAGTTTAAGTCCCTATAGATTTTGGTAAAGAAGTAACTGATATATAATGTGAGTTTCATTGCCCCCAGAGCAATAAAGTAGACAAAGATTTCCACAGAAAACTTTGTAACATTCTCCTGATACTTCTCTCATGCTGGTAAGAGAGCTGATTTATCAGCTGTACTAACAGATCAACTAAAACTCTCCTAGTCTCTACTGTCATATTTGACATAGGAGTGGGTTAAACACGGTACCAGCTGGATAAACTGGCCACCGATCCAGCACACAGTCAACAACACAGAGGCTGCTTTGGAGTACAACACATGAACCTGTGGCCTGGAGACAAACAGCTCCATCAGCAAACAGGCTAAAAGAGACAGTTCCTCATACCAGGAGTTTACCAGCAGTGACCAACAAGTCAAGTGATTTCAGACTTCAGCCTAAAGCTGCTACAGTTCCTCCAATCATTCAGGAAGGACCCGATACCCCCATCCATGCACAGGTACCCTACTTACGCACTCCAGCAGGTACAGAGCTTCCTCAGGCAGCAGGCACTGTTTGCCATGCACTGTGAACCCCATGGTGTGCCAGAACTTCCCCTGGAACAGAAACACAAATCTGTGATGGACTCTGGCTGCTCCCTGCTGATAACCAGGCTCTCTCCCATTTCAAGCAGTAAATTAAGGACTCTGCAAAGGCCAGCAGGAGATAATGGCACTGAGAACGCTCTGCAGCAGACTCACCGCAGGGGACTGCAGCTCTACGATGCCCTGGCCTGGCTTCCACTCAGCTTTCACCTGACTCCCCCTGAGAAGGTTAAAGATTAGTTAGTTATTACATGTCCTACGATCAACCTCTACTGTAGCAACGCAACAAGCTCAGGAAGGTATCAAAAGGCAGCAAATTTCCAGGTGGCATTTTCACAGGGTAAGGCCTTGGAAAGACATCATTCTCTGAATCAAACAGTACCAGCTGAAGAGTTTATCACTGGCAACTAGTTAAGAGTGTCTTCAGTCAGCACTGTAGATGTATGTCCATAGGCTACAGCAGCCTCCTGGAGATGCATGGCCATGATATATCATAATGATTAACTCAAATCACTGTATCCCACCCACACAGTCTCATAGGAAAAATTTAATAGCTGAGAAAATGTGGAGGGCGACTTTGCAAGAATGCAAACATGAATTTTTAGCAGCTGCCTCAAGGAAACAGAAGGTAAAACCTCTAGGGTCCACCATGGACTTGCTCTACACCTTTAGTCAGTACCGCAGTTTCCCCATCTGAAAGGAAACCTAAACTTACCCAGACACTCTCCCATCCCAAGAGTTTCCACTGTTGCCCTAGACATGCATTTACAGATGTACTGGAACAAACCCAACTGTGACTACAGTGGAAGATAGGTCCACCCTGTCTGGAGGTTGCCATTCCCTCTCTGAAGTCCCCAGTGGTGTGATTTTATGTGAACAGTATCTGCTGCTACTGATCAGTGCAGACAGAGAAACTGTTACCAGAAAACAGCAGGACAAACAGGGAAAGCATGCACTGAGAGACAGTGTATGAAAATCTCCTACAAAATTATAAACTTCAGAGACTGGTAGCGCTGTTGAAACCACCAAAACTGATAAACCAGGAACACTGAGAGTCAGACAAATCTGCACAAGGCCACACATGTGCATCAACAAGCGGCTGTGTAAGTCAGACCGCAACCAAAAGGATAATGACTATTTGCAAAGGCTACAGGATCGTGCACACACCTGAGAAAACGAAGAGCCCTTTGAGGGACTTTCTGAACCCCCTCACTGAAGCTACTGATGCACCAGTGGGACCCTCCCATCCGGGGTGAGCTGAGGGGGGGGAGGCAAGGGAACTCACTGTGCTAACGCCCACCTGCTGTTAACAGCGCGGTCTTCTCACGGTAACGCCGGACGGACAGCGGCCGTGCTCTGCCCTGCCCTCCGACACGGTCCCTCCTAGGGAAAGGAACCCACC